GCAGCGCAGCCGCAGGCAGGCAGGCGGCGGATGGAAACGCAGCCTGGCAAATCTGAGTCACGGCCTCCTCGGGGGTGAATTTTGATTTCTTCGGATCAAATCGTCTCCGCCTGGGCTGGCCAGACCCGGCCCCTCCGTTGTGACAGGGCACAAATGCCTTCGACATCTTTTTTGGGGGATGCGAGGAAGAAGGCGGTTATTGCAGGGAGGCAAACCGAGGTCCGGGGCGGATGGAAACGCAGCCTGGCAAATCTGAGTCACGGCCTCCTCGGGGGTGAATTTTGATTTCTTCGGATCAAATCGTCTCCGCCTGGGCTGGCCAGACCCGGCCCCTCCGTTGTGACAGGGCACAAATGCCTTCGACATCTTTTTTGGGGGATGCGAGGAAGAAGGCGGTTATTGCAGGGAGGCAAACCGAGGTCCGGGGTACCCAAACCAAACCCGATTTGCCCCGGGTCGCTCACCGACGGTGGGAAATGGGGACCTTGAGTGCTCCAGCCCAGCTCCCTCCCGGGGAATGTGGGGCGCCCCCAGTACCCGGGCTGCTCCGGCCGGGACTGGGTTCGGAGCAAGGTGGGGGGGTCCTCACGCTGAGCAGGGCTGGGAGCACTGGCACAAGCAGGACCTTCCCTGAGCCCCCTCCTCTTGCATCCCACGTGCAACGAGTTGAGCTAGTCTCAGCTTCCAGGGCATTAGCCCCAAAGCCATGCGATCCCTCAGCAGAATCAGGTATGGGGCCAGGCTTCCCGTGCCCGGGTTGTGCTGAGCTCGCAGTAGCTCGGGCACGAACCAGACCCCAGCGGGAGACCGTTCTTAAACAAGAGGAGGAAGAGGAAAGCGGAGGAAGAGGAGGCCGAAATAAGCACAGCGAGGGTAGGAACGAGAGCCCGGACTGACACGTTAACAGCCACGCAGCGGGAATTCAGCTCAGACTGGGCAAACAGGGTCGGGGACCAGTCCACACCAGCGGTACCAGCGCGGGGAAGGATTTCGGAAACTGGAAGCTGAGAAATAATTGAGATCCTGTTGGAAATAACCCCGAAGGGGGAATGCAGCTGAGCTATCGGCGTCTTTAACCCAGCCGAAAGAGGCTGGGCTGGGCCAGGGCTGCAGGAGGCCGAGGAGATGAGCTGGAAAGCTGACACACACACACACCCCCCCCCATCTCCCCCCTTGCGTGGGTGGCTGCACCCAGGGCTGGACGCCCACGCTGACAGCGTCGCATCCAGGCTGCAGGGCTAATCACGCGCCGAAGAAGCCCCAGCGCGGAGTCCATTGGCCTGGGCCGGACTGGTGAGCGCTCCCTTCCTCGGGGCCGCCGAGTCCCGTCAAGCTATGACTCATGCGTCACATCATTGTCATCGGCAAATCTCCGCGTCCCCTTTCCCTTCTGTCTCCGTGTCCCAGCATCCGCGAGCTCGCGTTCAGCCCCAAGGCTTCCATGCGCATAACCGGAGTAAAATGCATCGCAGCGGGGACAGGGGAACGGCTCTTTCCTGGCCCGAGGGCCTCGGATCACGGCACGTTTGCCAGGGCCTAAAAACCAGGCGTGACAGGGTAAAACCAGGCGCAATGGGATAAAACCAGGCGCAATGGGATAAAACCAGGCGTGACGGGATAAAACCAGGGGCGGGTCCATCCGCGGCAGGGAGATCGGCTGCCCCGGGGTGGGTGCCGGTGGCTTCCTCGAGCGAAGAGCACAGAAATGCCACCCCCCGGGGCTCGCCGGCTACATACCGGTTTCTTTGGACTCTCGAGACGTCAAAGCATCTCGGATCTCAGCGTCACGGTCATCACAAGCTGCAGATAACCTCCGTCCCCACAAGCACACGTCCCGCCCCTCCCGTACCTAAATCTACCCACTCCGGTAGTCCAAGCTGGACTCTTCCCAAATTTCTGACTGCAAACGATCGGGAGGGGGTTACCGATGTTGTCACTCCTTCCCCAGCCAGTCCGGGCCACGGGTATTCCCCGCCCCGACAGCCCCCTGAAGGGAGAAGAGGAGGCATTTGGGGTTTTTTTTGCTATTAAAGTATTATTAAAGTATTATTAAAACATGCTATTGTTCCCTCCCTGCACACACATACCGCAGAGGCTTTCGGAAGCCTGAACCAGACCAGCTAAGGCTGCTGTGAAATTGAATCCAAAGCCGTACAGCAAACGGCACGTAGTTTACGGGCTACGACTGTCTTGGGGCTGGAGCTGCTGCGGAGACCGGAGCATTTTGCCTTTGGAGAAAAGCATCCGGGGAGCAGCGGGAAGAAGGTGGGATTGGGGAAGCGGATGAAGATGTCGCCGAGCACGGCCTCAGTGCAGATTGGGATGAAGGAGGAGGCAGCGTGTTCCCATTTCTACGTCTCACCGCGAGCTCCAGGCTGACTCGGAGGGTCCAACACCGTCCGGGGCAGGAGGAAGGCTTCGTGTGTCTCAGCCTTTCAACACAAACGCCTTCAGCAGCAGCTTAATCCAACTCGCCGGGACGCGGCGGACGCACACCTCTCCATCATCTCCGTGGCAGCTCAGAGGGCTGCACGCTTCCCACCTAGCAGGAGCTCGGACACGCGAGCTAACAAGGTCACCCAGCCAGAGTCGCGGCGAGTCCGCGGAGACCAAGACACCTCGCTTCTGGCACGCGTTTAGATCCGATAGACGGATGGCGATTTGCCTCTCCCTTGGCATAATTATTTCCACTCCAGGAATGCTTTTAATTGCTGTAGCTATCATGGATTTTTTTTCATGGGACCGTTTGACTCGGGTCAAACCTCGGCACCAAAATCTTCCGTCACCTGCTCTCCGGCCCAGCATTAAGACTGACACCCCGCGTACGGTTAAAGCGGCCTGTTTGACGCTCCCGAAAACAAGAGTCCAGCTCAGCCCTCTCCAGCTGGCTCCTCGTCCACCACAAATTAAACCCCACAGCGCTGCGGCCGCTTTAAGATTTGTGCAGCTTCAGCGGTGCTTTTCTCTGCTGCGTTACGAAGTCCTTCCCTAAACCCATCACCTGCAGCAGGGGATTTAAGCGTCTACCTCGCCCTCCAGATCTCACTTACCAAACAACCCCGCGATGACGAAAGGGGAAGCACGGCACCTTCTTTCTCTCTGGCCCGCAAGGGCGAACAGAGATTGGAGCTAAAGGTCAGTTTTAGCCCTAGGATGTTAAAATAAAGCAGAAATAAACCAGCAAAGAGTAAAATCGAGGCTGAAAGCAAGGCAGCTGCTCTGCAGAGGACCGAAGAGCCACAGCAGCCTTCCGAGAGGAGTCACGACAGCCAAAAAAGCACTACAGTCCCCCATTCACATCCCCTGGTTCTTGCATAAAGCCACAAAATAACGCCAGGCGGCCAAGTATCTGGAAGCACTTTGATTTTTTTGGTCTTTAAATCACCGGGATTTAAAGCCTCCTATGTATCAAGCCGACACCTCTCTCCCTATCTCCAACTGCAGGCTCTTCCGCCTTCCCGTAAGGAGCTCTGCAGAAAGCCAAGCCCCCTCCCTCCTCACACCTTCCCAGCTGCCGGGGAAGGCGTGAAACTTGCCATCCACAGACTCTGCTTTTACACTTCCCCAATTATCGGTCTCGCCGGCGCGAAGACGCCGAATTCATTAGGAGAGGCGGGACGGGTTCTGGCGACTCAGCCCCAGGAAGCGTGGAGACAACACGTGGACCAGATCTGCCCTACCTCCTCTCCCAACCGGACCGCTTCACCCCAATTTTATTGCCGCCCCCCCCCCTCCAGTTAACAATATCCCCAGAACCACAGCTATAATGGCTTCCCGTGGCCGTGAGCCACATCAACGCGAGGAGATCTCGTTTCTAAAGTCCCTTCCCTGCGTGGAGAGGGACGAGGCAGGGACTCAGGAGGGCAGGTTTCGCTGCCAAATTACTCCTCAAAACGTCCTGCCCATTTACTTGCGCCCTCTGGGACAACCGTGCCCAAGGATGCGATGGATTTTTACGGCTTTAGCGTACATTTTCTTCACCGCAGGCGTACCGGATTACATGGAGCCTATCAGCCACCAGCGAACAGCCTGGATAAAGAAAGAGACCGGGCGCATCGACCCCAATTCAGCGCCTCACCGAGACAGACACACGGCACGGGTATCAGCAGAGGCAGAGAGCTTTCACGTGCCGACGGAACTCCATCGTAGGCGTCCCCGTGGCTGCGCGCGAGGCGAGAGCGGTCAGCAGACGATCAGCGCCTTGATCACAAACAGGCAGAGCCTCGCCCCGATCTCAGCGGGACGAACCCCCGGTTCTTAAAATGCTTTATTGGTAAATGGGCGATCGCTGCTTTACATAGAAAAAAAAAAAATCCTGTTAAAAGTACCTTGAAAAATCTTCAAGGCCGAGATAAACGGAAGGAGGAGGGGAAAAGTAACCAAAAAGAACACTAGAAAAAGAAACGGGGGAAAAGATGGGGAGAGGGAAAGATAGAGGGGGGAGCTGCGGCAGGGATGGCCCCAACTGCCCCTCTTGGGTGCGGGTATGTTAGCCCAAGGGGAAATGAAAGTCTGAGGACAGAGAGGGAAGGATCCCCAGCAGGGAGGGGGTTTTGCCACTACCTCATTTAGGGCAGGGGGCCCCTCAAGGGGCCACGCGGCGGCACCCCGGGGGGCCTCTGTGCAGGCCGGGGGGGGAGGG